ATCTATCTATCTATCTATCTATCTATCTATCTCTCTCTGTGGTCATCTTGACCTTTCCTCAGGGTCTCATGAGTGCTGATGTAATGATTGCGAGTAACAGATTCAGTGCTGTAAATCTGCTGTCGCTCTCTGACAGCACAGTAAATAATGAGCCTCATCCATCACTCTGCACTTCCTCCACGCGTCCGAGAAAGTGTCAGGAATTCCTCACACTCAGATTCCAGCGTTCAGCAGGGACGCAAAACACACACATACAGACACACACACACATCAAAACACAAGGCCCAGGTAGAGCTGATGCCTCCAGTAATCAGTCGTTGATGATAAATAATTCAATTTTTCTGAACTATACTACTGTTTCTGTAAATTAATAAAGCATCATCTTGACTTTTGACACTTTCTATAATATGTAGCTGCTGAATGCTTGATTCTGATTGGCTGATGAGCATTTTAAGGCGTGCAGTTATTTTCAGATAAAGACAATTATTATTAATGCACGTCTGAGGTGGTTATTGTGTGCATCCTTTTACAATAATTCAATGGTCTGTTGTCAATTATTCCTTCCATATCTGACACATAAATGGGAATATAACCCAATGCAACTTACTTCTGATACAAGCCGATGAATTATCAGAGAGTAAAACACAGAATATAACTCAATGCAACTCACTTGCAATACAGGTTGTTGAATTATTAGAAAATAATGCACACCTGAGGTGGTGATTGCATTATTTTCTAAAAATCCAACAACCTTTTGCCAATTATTCCTTCCATATCAGACACATAAACAGTAAAATAATCCAATGCAACTTACTTGCAATACAGACTGTTCAACTATTAGGAAATAATGCATAGATCATCACCTCGGCCTGCACTATTTTCTAATAATTTAATGGCCTATTGTCGATTATTCCTTCCATATCAATCGCATAAACAGTAATATAAACCAATGCAACTTACTTGCAATACAGACGGTTGAATTATTAAACAATAATGCATAGATCACCACCTTGGGTGTGCATTATATTTTTTTGAATTCAAAAGCTTTACTGAAGTAAGCTGTCGTCAATTATTCCATACACATCTGATACATAAACAGTAATATAACCCAATGTAATGTACTTGTGCTAGAGGGCGTTGAGTTATTAGAAATAATGCACACCAGAGGTGGTGATCTGTGCATTATTTTTAGTAATTCAACGACCTGTTGTCAATTATCCCTTACATATGTGACACATAAACAGTAAAATAACCCAATGCTACTTACAATTTAGGCTGTAGAATTATCAGAAAATAATGCACATCTGATGTAGTGATCAGTGCATTATTTACTAATAATTCAATGGTCCGTCATCAATTATTTCTTACATATCTGACACATAAACAGTAATATAACCCAATGTAATGTACTTGTGCTAGAGGGCGTTGAGTTATTAGAAATAATGCACACCAGAGGTGGTGATCTATGCATTATTTTCTAATAATTCAACGACCTGTTATCAATTATCCCTTACATATGTGACACATAAACACTAAAATAACCCAATGCTACTTACAATTTAGGCTGTTGAATTATCAGAAAATAATGCACACCTGATTTAGTGATCTGTACATTATTTACTAATAATTCAATGGCCTCTTGTCAATTACTCATTCCATATTAATTGAATAAACAGTAATATATCCTAATGCAACTTACTGGCAATACAGATAGTTGAATTATTAAAAAATAATGCATAGATCACCACCTCAGGTGTGCATTATTATTTTTATAAATCAGCTTGTAGTAAGCTCTACTGGAGTAAGCTGTCGTCAATTATTCCATTCACATCTGATACATAAACAGTAATATAACCCGATGCAATGTACTTGTGCTACAGGCCGTTGAGTTATTAGAAATAATGCACACCAGAGGTGGTGATCTGTGCATTATTTTTAGTAATTCAATGACCTGTTGTTAATTATCCTTTACATATGTGACACATAAACAGTAAAATAACCCAATGCTACTTCCAATTTAGGCTGTTGAATTATCAGAAAATAATGCTCACCAGATGTAGTGATCTGTGCATTATTTACTAATAATTCAATGGTCCGTCATCAATTATTTCTTACATATCTGACAACTAAACAGTAATATAACCCAATGCAATGTACTTGTGCTAGAGGGCGTTGAGTTATTAGAAATAATGCACACCAGAGGTGGTGATCTGTGCATTATTTTTAGTAATTCAACGACCTGTTGTCAATTATCCCTTACATATGTGACACATAAACAGTAAAATAACCCAATGCTACTTACAATTTAGGCTGTTGAATTATCAGAAAATTATGCACATCTGATGTAGTGATCTGTGCATTATTTAATAATAATTCAATGGCCTCTTGTCAATTACTCATTCCATATTAATTGAATAAACAGTAATATATCCTAATGCAACTTACTGGCAATACAGATAGTTGAATTATTAGAAAATAATGCATAGATCACCACCTCAGGTGTGCAGTATTATTTTTATAAATCAGCTTGTAGTAAGCTCTACTGGAGTAAGCTGTCGTCAATTATTCCATTCACATCTGACACATAAACAGTAATATAACCCAATGCAATGTACTTGTGCTAGAGGGCGTTGAGTTATTAGAAATAATGCACACCAGAGGTGGTGATCTGTGCATTATTTTTAGTAATTCAACGACCTGTTGTCAATTATCCCTTACATATGTGACACATAAACAGTAAAATAACCCAATAATACTTACAATTTAGGCTGTTGAATTATCAGAAAATAATGCACACCTGATGTAGTGATCTGTGCATTATTTACTAATAATTCAATGGCCTCTTGTCAATTACTCATTCCATATTAATTGAATAAACAATAATATATATATCCTAATGCAACTTACTGGCAATACAGACGGTTGAATTATTAGAAAATAATGCATAGATCACCACCTCGGGTGTGCATTATTATTTTTATAAATCAGCTTGTAGTAAGCTCTACTGGAGTAAGCTGTCATCAATACACATCTGATACATAAACAGTAATATAACCCAATGCAATGTACTTGTGCTAGAGGGCGTTGAGTTATTAGAAATAATGCACACCAGAGGTGGTGATCTATGCATTATTTTCTAATAATTCAACGACCTGTTGTCAATTATCCCTTACATATGTGACACATAAACACTAAAATAACCCAATGCAACTTACAATTTAGGCTGTTGAATTATCAGAAAATAATGCACACCTGATGTAGTGATCTGTGCATTATTTACTAATAATTCAATGGTCTGTCGTCAATTATTTCTTACATATCTAACACATAAACAGTAATATATCCTAATGCAACTTACTTGCAACACAGGCTGTTCAATTACTCATAAAATGATCTGTGCGTTATTTTCTAATAATTCAGCGACCTCTTGTCAGTTATTCCTTACACATTAGACACATAAACAGTAGTATAACTCAATGCAACTTACTTGCGATAGTCAAGCGGGCTCTCTGGCTCAGAATAGATCCGTATTTGTTCTGGGCAAGGCACTGATAAAACCCTTCATCTGATTTGTCCTTCCGACTTTCCACCTCTGAGATGAGCAGAGAGCCATTACTGAGCGAATAAACGCGCTCCGACTCTGTGATTGTAACTCCGTTTTTGAGCCATTGGATGCCAATGGGAGCCTCGCCGTGGGCCTGACAGTCCAAAACCACAGCGTCCCTCCTCATAGCCGTCACATCATGCGGCTCCTTTATAAAAAACAGCTCACTGAAGCTCCAAACACCTGCACAGACACACAGGAGACAATGATTTTGCAGCAGGTTGAGTTTCGGTGCTGTAATCATATTTGACCTGATGGATTACTCGCTGTAATCTCTTTATTCATGCCTCATGAACTCCGTCCCTGCTTTAAGAAGAGCTGTAATTTATTCCCAGCATGAAATTTACTAGACATTTAGCAGTCCACCGTGACTACAGCTGACATGAGGTACAAGAAGGAGAAGACAAATGGAAATAAAATACTTTTTTCGAGAAAATAACGTCATGTATTTACGATTCGGCCACTTTTTTTGCATGTTTATAAGGAAAAAAGGAAATAAAATACTTTATTGAGAATATAATGTCATGCATTTATGATTCGAACACTTTTATAAGTATGTTTATGAAGAAAAATGGAAATAAAATACTTTATTGAGAATATAATGTCATGTATTTATGATTCGGCCACTTTTATAAGTATGTTTATGAAGAAAAGTGGAAATAAAATACTTTATTTGAGAATTTAATGTCATATTTTTATGATTCGGCCACTTTTATTTGTATGTTCATGAAGAAAAATGGAAATAAAATACTTTATTGAGAATTTAATGTCATGCATTTATGATTCGGCCATTTTTATTAGTACGTTTATAAAGACAAATGAAAATAAAATACCTTATTGAGAATATAATGTCATGCATTTATGATTCGGCCACTTTTATAAGTATGTTCATGAAGAAAAGTGGAAATAAAATACTTTATTCGAGAATTTAATGTCATATTTTTATGATTCGGCCACTTTTATAAGTATGTTCATGAAGAAAAGTGGAATTAAAATACTTTATTCGAGAATTTAATGTCATATATTCATGATTCTGTGACTTGAATTAGTATGTTTATAAAGAAAAATGGAAATAAAATACTTTATTGAGAATATAATGTCATGCATTTATGATTCTGACACTTTTATTTGTACGTTTATAAAGAAAAATAGAAATAAAATACTATATTGAGAATATAAAGTCATGCATTTATGATTCTACCACTTTTATTAGTATGTTTAAAAAAATTTAAATAAATTGCCTTATTAAAAATATAATGTCATGCGTTTATGATTCGGCCACTTATATTAGTATGTTTATGAAGAAAAATGGAAGTAAAATACTTTATTGAGAATTTAATGTCATGTATTTATGATTCGCCCACTTATATTAGTATTTTTATTATGAGATGCATGTTAAGATGAATGCTCTTCTTAAGTTGTAAAATAGACTGTAAAAAATATATATATAAAAATAAAAGTTTTCTGAATTTTTGGGATTCATGTTTTATGTTTCCCCGTTTATTTATTGCACTATGGAAGCTTAATCTTTCTTCCAACAACTTTTAACTTTGAAAAGTTGTAAAAAGTGACATTTATGAACATCTTTAATAGTTAGAAGTGCTATATTATATGGGTTGGTGTTGTATATTACGCTGCCCTTGTAATAAACTGCCAGTACATTCTGTTATTTTACATACTTATTTCTCTCTCTCTATATATATATATATTATTATTATTATTTCTTATACATCATATTATTATTTTAAAACTACAAAAATGTCAATAAAAGTCACTTTGTTAAACTGTAGAGTTGACATCAAAAGTCGACAGAGCAGAGATGAACATCCCATAATCCGATTCACAACCGTAAAATAAGTGGAAAACACTAAATACAGACAATTTTAAACACTAAACAGCAGTTAAAAATCTATTATAAAATGCTTAATAAAACATCAGCTGTTATACATAAGATAGGAATAAATCTGTCATGTTATGCAGTATATTTGAAATATTTCAATGCTTATTATTAATGGTTATTTTCGAGTAAACTCTCTAAAACAACCATTAATAATATGCACTGAAAATTTTCAAATATACTGCATAGCATGACAGATTTATTCAGATTTATTTAGCTTGTGTTCAACAGAAGAAAGACTTATAAAGGTTTGGAAAACTTTGGGGTGAGTAAATAGGGAGTAAATTTACATTTCTGGGTAAATTATACTCTATATATGTGCTTAAAACACATTTAATATCAGGATCAAAATCAGGATTTAATGTGTTTAAAATTCCAAACTTTTATCTATCAACAGTGTTAAATGTTAAATAAGTGGTTTATTTAAGTTGAACAGATGTTATGTGGTGTCAAATTCAGAAATACACTGATTAATACATTGATTTAAGACTCATGTGAGCACATGTCCACACTAAACATAATTTAAAGCACAGCCTTCAGGATCTTAACAATCTTAGCAGGTCTTTGAATATGCATGAGGCAGTTTATGCATAATTTAATGCAAGCAAAATTACGAATAAACTGATTTAAATTAGTTTTAAAGACGTTATCATAAAAAATGTGTTCATATATCAAGTTTTTAAGACTCTTAGCAGCAACATGAATCGATTTCTGTGCTTTAAAGTTTGTTTATTGTGGACATGTGCTCACATGAGTCTTAAATCAATGTATTAATCAGTGTGTTTCTGAATTTGACACCACATAACATCAGTTCAACGTTAATAAATCACTTATTTCACATTTAACACTGTTTATAGGTTAAAGTTTGGAGTTTTAAGCACATTAAATCTTGATTTTGATCCCGATACTGAATTTAAATGTATTTTAAGCACATTTATAGAGTATAATTTAAACAGAAATGTAAATGTACTCTCTATTTACTCACCACAAAGTGTTTTCAAACCTTTATAAGTGTCTTTCTACTGTTGAACACAAGCTAAAATATTCTGAAGAAATACGACATACATTGACTTCCATAGTATTTGTGTCTCCCATTGCGAAAGTCAATGGTTTTAGGCTTTATTCAAAATATCCTATTTAGTGTTTGACAGAAGAAACTAATAAAGCAAGCTGAGAGTGATTAAATAATGGCACAATGTTATTTTTCGGTTGAACTAGCCCTTTAAATGATGAAGCATCCTAACGTGACCACAAACCGGCTAAAAGTTCACACACAACTTAATTGAAATAGCCGTTCTTACCTGAGATTGACAGAAATACAGCAAGAAACAGGTATAAATCCCTTTTAAAAGACGCCATTTACTCTGTTACTCCGAGCATGCCTGAGCCCGTGGGTCGCGGACTCGAGCTCCACACTATCTGACTGAAGCGCGCACGCGATGCTGCTGCTGCTGACCGCTCTGTGAGCGCACTACTTTCTCGGACGAGCACCAGTCCGAGAGAGTGCAAGTTGTGTGACGCGTCCAATCAGCGGTGAGTGGAGATTAATCCGCCTGCAGATCTGCACTACACGTGGAGCGTGACGTCGGAGGAATCCCCCTCGTATCAAAACAGATGATTATAGATTTTCAACGAATTTAGTGCCCTTTCACAACCCCTTTGAAAGTTAATATTGCATAAAGTAAACCTTTATATATATATTTTTTCTGTTATTATTATTTTCTCCCTTGTTCCATTTGGTTGCATTATTTAATGATATAGACTCCAGAAAAGCTTGGTTGTTGCCTCATAAATACTTTCTTCCTAATAAAACTACAGTAATTAACTTTAAAATATTGGGTAAAATATATCCAGTTAACTATAATAAATATAATAAATTATAATAAATAATACAATATAATATAATATAATATAATATAATGTAATATAATGTAATATAATATAATATAATATAATATAATATAATGCATAATATAATAATATAATAAATAATATAATATAACGTAACAAATAATATAATATAATAAATAATATAATATAATATAATGTAATATAATATAATAAATAATATAATATAACGTAATAAATAATATAATAAAATAAATAATATAATATAATATAATAAATAATATAATATAACGTAATAATAAAATATAATATAATATAATATAATTAATATAATAAATGATATAATATAATATAATATAATATAATATAATATAATATAATATAATATAATATAATATAATATAATATAATATAATATAATATAATATAATATAATATAATAAATAATATAACGTAATAAATAATATAATATAATATAATGCATAATATAATAATATAATAAATAATACAATATAACGTAATAAATAATAGAATATAATAAATAATATAATATAATATAATATAATGTAATATAATATAATAAATAATATAATATAACGTAATAAATAATATAATAAAATAAATAATATAATATAATATAATAAATAATATAATATAACGTAATAATATAATATAATATAATATAATATAATATAATATAATATAATATAATATAATATAATATAATATAATATAATATAATATAATATAATTAATATAATAAATGATATAATATAATATAATATAATAAAATATAATATATAATATTAATAAAATATAAGAGAAATTCTGAATTGGATTGAATTAAAAAACTCATAACATGGGCATAACGTGGGCTCAGTGGTTAGCACTGTTGCCTCACAGGAAGAAGGTCGCTGGTTCGAGTCCTGACTGGGTCAGTTGGCATTTCTGCGTGAAGTTTGCATGTTCTACCAGAAAGGCTTTGAGAGGCAGATAAACATTTGAACATTTATTGTGAATTGTTTGCATAAATGCGAGTTCGTTACTGTCCTTTCATAATGTCCTTTGGCGTAAGCCCCGTATAGTGCAGAACTCTGGATGAGCTGGCAGATCCTGCCTGAAGATGAAGGCAGGGCGAAGCCAACCCCTTGAGTGGAGACGAGGCCGACCGGGTGGTGATGGGGAGGATGGAGGAAAACTTCCGTATGTCACCTGAGTACAGCGAAACAGATTGTTTAGATGGGCTTATATACATGGTTTGCTTGGTTGTTATAGGCTGACGAATAATTATTATGAATGACGTGACTCAGTCTCAGTCTTCCTGGTAGAACTATAGCTAAAGCTTTGATTTCTCCTCTGTGTTGGCGTGGGTTTCCTCCGGGTGCTCTGGTTTCCCCCACAATCCAAAAACATTGTGTATGAGTGTGAATGAGTGTGTATGGGTGTTTCCCAGTGCTGGATTGCATGCCATCCACTGTGTAAATATATGCTGCATAAGTTGGCGGTTCATTCCACTGTGGCGACCCCTAATGAATAAAGGGACTAAGCTATAGGAAAATGAATGAATGAATGATAACATTTGGAACAAGTAAAGGATACAGTAAGTAAATGATGACAGGATTTTGTGTGAACTGTCCCTTTAAATCTGAGTCAGCTGCTGGAGTTGTGGATGTGTGGGTGAGCAGCAGCTGTAGATTGGGTATTGATCTGGGTGTGTTTGAGGAGCACATCTGACCTCCTCCTTTTCTTCTTCTTCTGACCCGCTGGACACACGGCCGGCCGGACAAAAGCTTTGCTCGGACCGCAGGTCACAGGAACAATACAGAGGACAGCAGGAGAAAAGAGCCCGAGTCCAGTTTCCCACAGTCAGAGAAACACAGGATCCCAAACTGCAGAGTCACACTGCTGAAACTGGCTTACTTTCAGAGAGTTTCTGTCTTGATTGTTGAAATGTCTAAAAGTATCTTCAATCAAGAAGCATTACTTAAAAATAAGGCTTTGTTTTTAGAATAATTGTCAAAATTAAGAGTAAAATGGATTTACTTCCAACTGAAAACAAGATTATTTAGCTATTATTTAATATAGTGTTCGACTATTATGTGCATGTTTGACCATCCCGGGATTAAATGTTGTCATTAATATTGTTTACATTATTATTTTATCATTATTGTAATTTTTTCCCCCCAAAATATATTTGTTGGGTTTTGTTTGAACTACAGAACAAAATACATGAAAAATAAATAAATAAAAAGACTTAAATAAAACATAAAACATAAATAAATAAAGCATATAAGTAAAAAAACAATTTTACAAAATGTTGAAACGGATCCAACAAATGGATAAAAATGTGAAAATAAATATATAAATCAATTTCATAAATACAAATAATACCAAAACAAGTCCAAAGACATGTGATAGGTAAGTAGTCTTTATATTGCTATAAGAAAATTATAATAATATATAATATAAGAAAAAAATATTATAACATAATATAATATAATATGATATAATATAATATAATTAATATAATTATTATAATATAATATAATATAATATAATAAAATATAATATAATATAATATAATAAAATATAATATAATATAATAAATATAATTAATATAATAAATATAATATAATATAATATAATAAATATAATATAATATAATATAATATAATATAATATAATATAATATAATAAATATAATATAATATAATATAATAAATATAATAAATATAATAAATATAATATAATATAATATAATATAATATAATATAATATAATATAATATAATATAATATAATATAATATAATATCACAAAATAACATAAAAAATTATAAGGGTACTTCTGAATTGGATTGAATTAAAAAAACTCATAATGTGATTAGCACTGTTGCCTCACAGGAAGAAGGTCGTTGGTTCGAGTCCCGACTGGGTCAGTTGGCATTTCTTTGTGGAGTTTGCATGTTCTCTTCGTGTTGGCGTGGGTTTCCTCCGGGTGCTCCGGTCCCTCCACAATCCAAAAACATGTGCTATAGGGGAATAGATGAACTAAATTGGCCGTAGTGTATGAGTGTGTGTGTGTGTGAATGAGTGTGTATGGGTGTTTTCCAGTGCTGGGTTTCAGGGCATCCGCAAACTGAAAACAAGATTGTTTACCTCACAGCAAGAAGGTTGCTGGTTCGAGCTTCGGCTGGGTCAGTTGGCATTTCTGTGTGGAGTTTGCATGTTCCCCCCTTGTTGGCGTGGGCTTCAAGTGGACATGTGGTACAGGTGAGTTGGGTGAACTAAATGGTTTGTAGTGTGTAAGTGTAAATGAGTGGGTATGGATGTTAACCAGTGATGGGTTGCAGCTTGAAGGACATCCACTGCGTAAACAATATGCTGGATAAGTTGGTGGTTCCTTCCGCTGTGGCGACCCCAGATTAATAAAGGGACTAAACCAAAAAGAAAATGAATGACTGACTGAATATTACCCCTATCTCTTAAATATTATTATTTACTGTTTGTTGTATTTTTTTGATTGTCCTTTGTTACTTTCTATGTTGTGTAAAAAAGTGAAATGATGGGCAGTGAAAATGTTTCCACCTTTAAGCTGAAATACTGCATTGGTTATGCTGCTAAACTAAATTTAAAAAATAATAAAAAAAGATTATTTCACTTTTTATTCACCATTTAAATTAGATACTGTGATCATGTCTTTTATGCAAAATGATCAAATATTAACATATACTTACCGGCCACTTTATTAGGTACACCTTACTAGTACCAGATTGGACCGCCTTTTGCCATCAGAACTGCCTTAATCCTTCCTGGCGTAGATTCAACAAGCTACTGGAAATATGCCTCAGAGATTTTGCTCCATATTGACATGATAGCATCACACAGTTGCTGCAGATTTGTCGGCTGCACATCCATGATGCCAATCTCCTGTTCCACCACATCCCAAAGCTGCTCTATTGAATTGAGCTCTGGTGACTGTGGATGCCATTTGAGTACAGTGAACTCATTGTCATGTTCAAGAAACCAGTCTGAGATGATTCAGGCTTTCTGATGGAAGTAGCCATCAAAAGATGGGTACAGTGGTCATAAAGGGAACAATACTCAGGTAGGCTGTGGCGTTGACATGATGCTGAATCGGTACTAATGAGCCCAAAAGTGTGGCAAGAAAATCTCCCCCACACCCTTACACCACCACCAGCAGCCTAATACGTTGATACAAGGTAGGATGGATCCATGCTTTCATGTTGTTGAGGCCAAATTCTGACCCGACCATCTGAATGTGGCAGCAGAAACGGAAACTCATCATACCAGGCAACCTGGATATTTTCTCTTTGTCGGACCATTCTCTGTAAATAGTTGTGTGCCTGAAAATCCCAGTAGATCAGCAGATTCTGAAATACTCAGAGCAGCCCGTCTGGCACCAACAACCATGCCACGTGCGAAGTCACTTAAATCCCCTTTCCCCATTCTGATGCTCACTTTAAACTGCAGCAGATCGTCTTGACCATGTCTACATGCCTAAATGCATTGAGCTGCTGCCATATGATTGGCTGATTAGAAATTTGCCTTAACGAGCAGTTGGACAGGTGTACCTAATAAAGTGTCCGATGAGTGTATATACTCATTATACATCAATATACAACTACATCTAATATAATACATATTATAATATACACATATTATGTGTGTGTGTGTGTGTGTGTGTGTGTGTGTGTGTGTGTGTGTGTGTGTATGTATATATATATATGGGCATATATGACTTC